CATTAAGCAACACACCAACCAACAAACCAAAAACACACCAAGCAACGCACCAACCAACAAACCAACAAACCAAGCAACACACCAACCAACCAAAAACAAAAAACAAACCAAAGCAACGCACCAACCAACCAACAAACCAAAAACAAACCAAGCAACACACCAACCAACCACCCGACAAACCAAAAACACACCAAGCAACGCACCAACCAACCAACCAAGAAACAAAAAACACACCAAGCAACACACCAACCAACCAACCAACAAACCAAAAACACACCAAGCAACGCACCAACCAACAAACCAACACAAAAAAACAAACCAAGCAAAACACCAACCGACCAACCAACAAACAAAAAAGAAACCAAGCAACACACCAACCAACGAACCAACAAACCAAAAACAAACCAAGCAACGCACCAACCAACCAACCAACAAACCAAAAAACAAACCAAGCAACGCACCAACCAATCAAACAACCAATCAAGAACAAACCAACCAATCAACAAACATTTCCCACGACATGAACGAAATATGTACCTTTTGCTGGGCCGGGGGCCTCCTCAGCCGGTGGTCAGGCTTCGCCGGATGTTGGGCCCGGGACATCCGCTGGGCAGGCCACGCTGATGGAGGATGGCCCCTCCTGCCGGTGGTGGGGAGGGCGTCAGCCGGCCGGTGGTCGTGCTGGGGAGCCTGCAAGTCAATGGTCGGGCCGGGGCATCTCAGGTCGCGGTGGTGGGTGACGATGCAGGCTGTGGCAGTCCTCCGGGACGGCCCCTCAGGTCGGTGGTCGGGCTGGAGGGCGTCACTCGGCCGGTGGTCGGGCCGGGGAACGTGCAAGCCGATGGCCGGGCTGTGGCATTCAGGGCCCGGTGGTGGGTGACGATGCAGGCTGTGGCAGCAGGACGGCCCCTCCTGCCGGTGGTGGGGCTGGAGGGCGTCACTCGGCATTAGTTGATTAGCATAGCATAAATTTCAAAGTTCATCTGTGTTGTACAATTATTTACATCGAAGTTTGTGTACATACAAACAATGTATTCCACTTGTTAAAATGACTGGGATTCAAATTATTTGTGACAAGAGGACCGATCCATAACTAGCGCCATCTAGCGAACCTCTGAAACATTTGCTTAAAGCGCGGGAAATTTGAAATAACAAGCGATAAAGTCCAAATAAAACCGGAAACTTCAACGTCAACAATCTAAAGCAAGTAGGTTTTCGTCCGGTGGCCATTTCATTTCATTTTGAAAGTAGCCAGTTTTCAAGATTACGCTACGAAATTTCAGGGAGTTTCGTGGCGTACTTTTTCTGCTACATGTATTATTTACACTATTGTTTACCAATCTGAGAAATGGCTTCAATAGTTTCAGATGGTAACGAATGTTTACGAGACGGAAGTTAGTGTTCCTTTCTTCAAGAAGCACTCGAGTCTGGTATATCCCGGTTTTAGTGACACTCTTCCAAGTTTGTCCCCGATCAATGGGAATTTTGCGCCTGTAGGACTTTCTTCTGTTTTAATACGGCAGGAGTTTGATTAGCTGATTGCTACTGTTGTAGTGAATGTCCTACCGGGGAGCATCTTGAATTTGGCGGTAGAAGAGCCCGAAACATTCCTAATCAATCGGCATGAATAAGCCAGGGTTTCTGTTGATGAGATTCGTTCTATGGGCAAGATGAAACTGTGTAGCGAACAATACTGAAAATATGATCGGGCTCACCGTTGTTATTGTTCCTCGCCATTTTCTCCAAAACTTCGAATTCAAAGCAAAGCAAAGCAAGGCAAAGCAATGAGATTACGATGAGAGCAGATTGCGCGTGTACTACCCTCAGCTAGAATGAGCTCGTCAGGCCCCGTGCGCATATATATACGCTCTGTCGCGACGTAGACGACGTCTAGACGACGTCTAGACGACGTCTGGCTGGCAGGGGGCTTCCGTGGTCGGGAGAAGGGAGAACTAGACACGGACTTTCATACACTGGATTAGTAACAATAAGCAGATCGGGGGCACGAACGTTGACGGCAACAGCGCACCCTATTATATAAACATGCCAGAGCCATCATTACTATGATGTTGGACATCAAGGAGAAGAAGAAAACATGGAGGTCAGGAAGAAGCAATGACAGAGAGTACTACAATGTAACTCTATGCGGCTACGACGACTTCTGTCTTTGGTGCATACATGTGCACCTCCATTTTTGGAGGCAGTGGCTAGTTGTTCCAATGTCTATCTAACGACAATCTACAAGTGTAGTTGACATCCTCCATGTTGGATTACAGTGCATGCCTGTTCAACATGCAAGTTTTCCCGCCAACACCTGGTCGACGAGATTCATATGATAATAATTTTGACATAAATGAAAAGCCTTAAAGTACAATGTCACTGTAATCCAACATGGCGCATGTGAAAGCCTGTTTGCTTCCACAGTCTGAATTGATAAGGTTTTTATAAGGCCCATTTTGTGTTAGGCAGTATCCATTCGCCAGAGGGCGTGGCGTATCCATAGACCCTCTCTGGCAAGTTGCGAATGGATACTTCCTGGCCAGTTTGATACTCAGTGTCTTTTGCCACCACTCTAGGATCTGCTTGGAGATTGATGTAGATCGAATGCATTAGAACGTTTAGTCCCAACCTCAGTACATGTAACGTTAGTAGTAACGTTATATATGTATTATACATGTATATTTGGGTCGACGGCCAGAGCTTCTATTATAATACGTTTGGTACATTGTTTTTGCTTGCTGGCAAGGCAATGGCAACAAAGAAAGACAAGGTTTTAGAACAAAGATAATTTTTACTAGCAACAGTAGACCAGGGGTACCTTACAAGTGTGTTTAAAAGCTGGAAACACAGCTGTCAGCCATTTTTGTTTGTTGGTACTACAAAATGTGAGTTACAGGTACAACTGGAATGTATTATCTTTTCTTATGCCGTCATTGTATGCGAATGATGGTCACAATAATATTGAGTTGGGAACAGCTTGATATAAAGGGGTGGACAAGTAATGTTAACAGCTCCAGAACGTGTCGACTTCTATATCTTTCAACTGTGGTTGAATTAATGCTATGCTAGGCTAGGACTGGATATGCTATCCATGGCTGGAACACTAGAATTCTACTATCATCTTTCAAGATAGAAGGATGCCTATTATTAGAGTCTCAGTCACTATTTTTATAAGCTAGACTTTCTATTAGTTTTATGTAAATGACACAGACCCAACTATCACTACTAGATACAATACTTCCTACAGCTACTTGTATCTGATGATTACAGTAATACATGTATGTCAAACTGAAACAGTGGATTTTTTACACAAGAATGTCAACAATTTTTTTTTTTTTTACCTGGATATGTCACAGCTCTAGCAATTTTTATTTTATTTTATTTTCATAACGCTATGTAAAATGTAAATGACTGCAGTAGATACTTGTTATTTGTTTACCAGAGCAGGAATGTCTATGACATGTACAATGTATAAACTTACTACAATCTAAACAAATGACTGGATAACCGGCAGGCACATACATTGTAGACATGCTAGTTGTTACTATCTTAGTATGCACGAAATGTGTACAGTTTTAGCTTGAATATACATTGTACAACATACTGCTGCTGGATGAAAAAGTACAGGGAGCCTAAACATTTTCTTCAGAAGAGCTAGAACCATTTGTTCAAGCCATGTAGTGCCTGTTACTCCATGTTTGCCCTTCTGTACCAGAAGCGAGCTCTGTAGTCATCACTGCAGGTCACAAAGGCAGGACCGGTTGGGGAATGGACAATGGACCGTACCACGTTGTTATGTCCTATAAGAAAAAATTAAATTTAAAAAATCAACGGAAGTAAGGAGTATATTTTGAATTCTAAATGCATCCATTGTCTAAGAAACACATTTACACACAGAGCTGGTATAATGCGACCTTTTAATATTTGGTGTCGTGTGGCGTAATGGTAGGGCATTCAGTACAGAACCCTGGGTTCAAATCGATTGTGTCACATAGGTGGATGATCCACATAGGTGACACAATGTTGTGCCCCTTTACTCTCCACTCAAGTGAAAATGAGTACCTAGCTTCTGTTAAGACACCCATTGGATAGGACGTTAAATGGAGGTCCTGCATTTTCAGGGGGAGAGCCACATCTCAACAAAACACGATTGCACAATTATCTATACACATGCTTTACACAAGATATAAAAATCATAAAGATTCAAACAAGAAGTGCTTTTGCACTTATTTTAATTGAGAAACCCATGGCTCTTAGTATCATTACCGAAATTTTTTAGCCACCCTGACTTCCCCCTAGCCTCCATAGCATGCCAAAAACTGGGGGGGGGGGGTTCTTCTTGGTCTTTGGAAACTTTTATGTGCTATTTTCTGATTGCATATTAGACAACATAGCCGGCCTGGTCGAATTACCCCCGAAGACTACCAAACTCCCAGCTATATAAGCCTGCTACGGAGGCTAACCTCCCCCAGTGTTTGTAAAATGGCAGTGTATTTGCCCTGACTGTTGAGAAGGTACGTGTACCTACCCAGTGACAGGAGTCTCTGTCGCTCAGCATTTCTGGAATCCCAACAACACAGACTGGTGGTCTTCTCATCCGGGAAGAACACTGCCAACGGTGGGTCATAGGTCAGCATATCGACTTCTTATTGCATTAAAGGTATCCAATGTGATTTCATGGCAGCAAAAATGGAAATATTCTAAATAAGGCAAGCTTTGTCATATTCACACATACTGCTTCACATTAGCACTTTTGAGTTCATATTTCATACCTTAGGGTTTTACTGCAGAAACAAGCCCCAATATGAGTCAATGAAATACCAAAAAAAATCAGCCAAGGGCCCTTCCAGTTGCCATTTTCTGTCAGAAGTTCTGGATATATGCTCCAAGAGGGTCAATATACATTGGGATAGTGCAGTTTCAATTCAGTATGTAGATAAACAACTTAACTGTAGAACATTGACTTTGACAAATTGGGTTTCCAAGCCCTAAAAACTACACTGGATGCCTTTAACTACATGCATGCATTGTTCAGCTGAGAGCAGGTAATTCATGTCTATGATCAAGGTTGTTCAATCTCTCTTTCCTGTATCTGTATCTATACAGCCAGTATAACCACCCCTCAGCATAACACACCAGCGTGACTTGGCTTCACTGACAGAAGGTTGTTTAATCTATACCTACATGTAGGCTTTTGGCAGTAAAACTGAAAACATTCAATCTTGAAGACAAAATCTTAAGTCACAGATTGAACACATTTTCAACACAATTTCATAGAAACTGCTGCACTTACAAACCATGTATGCAAAAACAAAACCTGCATCATGGTCAATTGCACATGCACGATTATCATGTATCATGGTTTCTTCCTAATGGAGAAGATATTTGTTAGTTTATCAGCAGTAAAGAATATAATTGAATGTGTCACTTCCCATTTCCTTCAGATCTGGTTATGTTTTATCAATAAATATCTGACACCCAACCATTGAACATGATACTAAGACAGTGTACTTAGTACAAAAAACCTATGTCTTGAGGAAACAAAAGGATCTGGCAACTACATGTGCATGAATACGTCATACTAGTAGTTCTTACCAGGCTGTTTGAGTGTAGGGCCCCCTACCCTGGGACTTGGACCCCCCACACTGTGATTTAGCCCCCTACACTACATGTTTCCACAAGCATATATAGGGGTGTTTTGGGGGGCAGAAGCTTCATAAATCTTCGAAAAAAAATGAAACATACCTTCAGAATGAAGCTATAACAAAGGGAAAACAAAAAGAAATGTCCCATAATAAGCAAGGAGCATTGTCTCAGGAGGTTATGAGTTACAAAATTTTTTGGGGGAGAATATAAGACGCCCTGCTGAGGTCATATTTTGGGGACTCAATGCAAGACTTGCGCCGCAGACAGTTTCCCTCCTGTACCCGACCCCTACGCTGTGAAAAAATCCTGGTGAGATTACCCATGCATGTACATTTGTATATTGTACAGTAACCCAATCATATGGTATACCAGCCCTATATCTTTATGTTTGAACTTCAAGAAGTCCATCTCTTATATGTATATGTGTACACGTACATCCCTGACAAAAGTCCTTGATAAACTGATCCATTTTTACAGAAATTCTTCAGTCTGTATATTTTTTTTGGACAGTTTCTTACCGAAGTCCTCGGTATGGTTGAACACAGCCTGTGTTCGGTGGTCCTGTTTAGAAGACCCAGCTCCAGTGTAGGTGATGAGAGCACGGCCTGTAGACAACTCCCACAACTTCACCAGAGAGTCCTTACCACTCGACAAAATGTACTGTGGACAAGAGGGAAAACAGCTACGGCAAATGGCTTCAAATGTTATCAAAGGCTTATCAAAGTGAAAAGCATCTAAGGCCAGACCAATTTAATTTGTTGTTTCTCGGATTTGCCTCTTCATTTTTTATGATTTGTAAAAAAAAAAAAAAAGATTCTGGTTCTGAATCAACTCAAATATGCTCATATTTTGCCGCAAACAGTTGAGGAAAGTCCCTTTCTTCCTAGTTGTTCCATCAGTTTTTCCATCTACCAATGCAGTGGCTTGATTAAAAGTTCAAAATTCATTGTTTAAATATTAACCCAGCCTTTTGTGTTGACTCCATGACTCCTTTTGTAGCATTTGGGGCTGTAATACAATGTAGGATGCCTAGACCTGTTTTTATTTTTGTTTTCCCGTTTTTTTTTTTCGTTTGAAAAAAATTGAGAACCAACAAATTAAATTGTTGTGGCCTAATGCAATTTCTGGGCAGCAAACTGAACTTCCAAAGTTAATTTTGTAGTCATCCTATCCTATCCAACAGTGTACTGATAGCTCCACATGTGAGGCCAGAATTGTGATCTTGCTGACAGAAAACAGCTGCTTGTTTTGTACTGTAGGCTGGCAGATTTTTTCATCTACAATATTTTGTTTTGTTTGCCTGAAATGTCATTGGATGCGTTTCAAACATCATCATATGAGAAGATCATGTGTGAAAATGCCTACATAACAAAGCAGGTAGACCAACCTTTGAATTCCTGGAGAAAACCACTGAGCTCACCTGAAATAGACAACAGTTAGCCTTGTGTTCTATCAAATGGGAACAATGCTAATAACATTGTATGCTACTGTGAAACGGTCACTGTTCTCTTACTATGTACAATGTAGATTATACCAGCACAACTTTTGTCGGAGCTTTAAAGAAGAAAGTCATGATAGTCAAAGTTTATTGCACAACGATTGTCACGGGTACAATGTATGGCAAATAATAATTAAGTTACTAGTTGGTATGAGTCTATCATAATGCTACATAATTATATGGTCAACGGTTACTGTGTCTGCCAGAGTGTTATAAAGAACTACATTTGTACTGGCTAGGAAATATTCCAACTCTACATGTACGTTTTTTTTGTACATTACGCTAAACTATACTTATGAAGGGTACAGTGAGCAGTTGTACCTAATTATACAAAACATGTTCTATGGATACTAAACAGAGTGTAGACAAGAAGAAATGCACAGATTTTAGTCCCATTTTGCATGACTTTTGATTGCAGGTGTGAAAGTCACTGAAGATTTGGTCTGTATATTACTTACCTCCTCTCCATCATGAGCCCGTGTGTATGTGGCAATACAGCGGTTACTGACACCATCCCACACCTGTGTACAAACAATGTCAGACAGACATGTTATAGTAACATATAGAGGGGCCACAATTAGGCCATGTTGATTTGATTATATGGATGACATCCTCTGGGAACCCCAAAACTGATGCGAGCGCGCGAATAAAAAAAAGTTTTGCAAAAAAAAAGGTGCTTTCATGAAATCTACGTTGTTATGAAGGTCGAACAAATGACACAGAGTATGGAATGGCGAATAATCTATTCTTTAAATTCATTTTTTTGCATTTTAGTTTTTTGTTTGATTTTGGCATTCTAGGACGTTGGAATCGTTTTCAAATATTATTTTGCAACTTTCGGTATATATTTGCTCATTTTGCAACTGTTTTGTACAATTTACAGTGTGGTTGGAAACTTTTTTTTTTTTTTTTTGAAACGGCCGAAAATTCATGCGCGCGCGGATGTCATCCATATAATCAAATCAACATGGCCTCATTTGTCAATAAGGTTCCACACGGGATTTGGACTTTGGTATTGAACTGTTACAATTTGTTTAGGGTGGTCCATCAAATTTTTTCCATTTCAGGCACATTTTGAATCGAAATGTGTGTTTTCTGTGACAAGATACATGTATAACACTACACCATACTCCATGTCACCCTCTGTCCCAGCCCCTCCCGAGGGTGATGCATACAACATGTACCATGGATTATCATGAAAGTTCATCTTCTTCTTCTTCTTGAGTACTCTCTAACCACCCCTACTGGGGTATCACTGAGAGGGGGGGGGGGGCGACGGACTATGGCTGTGCGGCCAGAAGCCCGGCCTTGAAGGCCTCCACTGTCTGGGCTTTTACAAGCTGGCCCGGTAACTTGTTCCACTCATTTATCGTTCTTGGAAAAAAAGAAAATCTAAAACAGTCTGTTTTGGCAGGTATTGCTTGATACTTATATTCATGACTTCCTCTGGTACGCCTATGGGCAGGTTTGAGGTATTGTTCCATTTGAATATTAATATGTCCATGAGCAATTTTATATAAAGATATCAAGCGAGCGGTTCTCCTTCTGTCAACAAGTAACGGCCACTGGAGGCGCTTTAGCATGTCAGAAACACTGCTGGTATAGTCATAATCACTAACAGCCATTCGCGCCGCCCTTCGTTGGACTCGCTCCAACGCCTGGGAACCACCGATGGTGTGGGGATCCCATACAGTCGCACAGTACTCCAGGTGTGGGCGTACAAGTGTTCTGTAGCATGTAGATTTGACACGAAGAGGACAGTGCGAAAGGTTACGGCGGATGACTGCCAGTATCCTATTAGCTCTACCAGTGACATAATTTATATGTGTGTCCCATTTCATATCCTGTGATAGTTGGACTCCAAGATATGGATGGGTTTTAACACTAGTAAGATTTTCTGAACATAATCGGTATTGTGTAATAATCGGGTTACGCTTACGAGTAATATGAAGTGTGTGGCACTTTGAGGGGTTGAAGGACATTTGCCATGTGTCCTGCCACCGGGTCAGTGCATCGAGATCTTTTTGTAGATCAAGAGCATCTGAGGGTTTTTCAATAACCCGGTACAACAGGCAGTCATCGGCAAACAAACGCACACTAGAGGTCACAACACTCGGAAGATCATTGATATAAAGGAGAAACAAAAGCGGACCCAAAACAGTGCCTTGCGGTACTCCAGACACTACCTTGGCGGGCTTAGAGGCCACACCATCAAGGACAACTGATTGGGTTCTTTGAGTGAGAAAAGCTTGCAGCCATGTTAGTAATTTGCCAGAAATGCTATAGTGCTGGAGCTTATTCAGTAAGCGACTGTGGGGGACCTTATCAAAAGCTTTACTGAAATCCAGCACAATGGCGTCGACCTGCTTATTTAGGTCTAGAGTACTAGCCAAGTCATGGGTTGTCAAAAGTAGTTGACTCTCGCATGATAGTCCTTTACGAAAACCGTGCTGTGTCGAAGATAATATATTATATTTGTCAAGGTGGCTCATGGTATGGCTATGTATAATATGTTCCAAAACTTTGCTACAGACTGAGGTGAGTGACACCGGCCTGTAGTTAACAGGTGAGGTTTTATCTCCCTTCTTAAAGATGGGGCTAATATTAGCGGCTCTCCAATCATCTGTGTTGGTAGTAATCACAGTAAAAGGTTGAACTTTATTCCAACACACAATATGTACACGGATGAAATTTTCAGCGACCACTGTCGCCTTCATCAGGATAATTAATGACCAATCACTTCACAACGTGACCTCGCGAGAATTACGGTTTACAAACACGTGACCTTATTCACACGAGATTTTACTGATACGTGACGTAAGTAATTGATCAAACGTGCCAGGGAGAATATCATTCTCACCATGTCAACAAGGTAAGGAAGAGAGCAGCAGACTTAGATACATGAATTTTCAACATTATGATTGTTAACCTTCATTCTGGTTGAGTTGAAATGGATAATGCCATGGCCAGAGAACACCAAGCTTGTTACACTTTATTCATCAGTTCAAAAGGTACGTTTTTGTAATCCACAACTTTTGTTACCACATGAGCAGTTTTGTTTAAAGAAGACTACAAATCAATGACCATATCAAATGAGGCAGAATTGCCCACCTTGATGTCCCCATCTTTACTGCAGCTGACGTACAGGTTGGCATTGGGGCTGTACTTTACCTGGGGAAAGGATCAAAATTACTGTTACACTTTAGTCAGAATATACACCGGTACCGGTATCTTAATGTATTTAAAAATACATGTACAGTCACCTGAGCGTAGATACAGTCAAACTTACCCATTGATGTAACTACATTGTACCTCAATAAGCTGGCCACCTACATGTAGCTATAACAACTGCTTTCTTGCAGTCACTGCAGTCTTTTTAACATACATTGTAGACATTCATGATTGTATAAGAATTAAGGAACTTGTCTAAGCCCACCATTTGTTCAACATGATCTCTGCCTATGGCCAGTGTTTAATTTTTAATGTGTGGCAGAAAAAGTTCTTTTTAATGACTAGTGGGAAAATGTAATGGAATTGGTCAGTTTGCCAGGGATTTTAGTGTTCTGTCTTGATGCCATACTAATTTAACTGATGTGTACATGTACATAACAACAACTACAGGTTTTGAATTTCCCAATCAAACAAGTAAACCCTAGCTAGCTTGATCAACCCAGCAATCCTAAGAATAATGTCAGTGACATGATGTTAACAATTTAAATGGTTTACACATAGAATATGAATACCAGCAAGCAGAATGTCAAAGGTATAAGAATTCTTTTGCTGATTTTTTTTCGGAATAAAGAAGACTTAGTGGACTTACAGCACTGATAGCTGCCTTATGTTGGTCTGCAGGGTTACAGGATACAAAACACTGCAGGGTGTTGCTGTCATACAGGCGTACTGCAAGGACAGATCAAATCACAAACATCACACACATGTACCCTGAATTACTACACAAACATCACACACATGTACCCTGAATTACCACACAAACATCACACACATGTACCCTGAATTACCACACAAACATCACACACATGTACCCTGAATTACCACACAAACATCACACACATGTACCCTGAATTACCACACAAACATCACACACATGTACCCTGAATTACCACACAAACATCACACACATGTACCCTGAATTACCACACAAACATCACACACATGTACCCTAAACTACCACACATGGATAATCAAACATCATGCTGATCAGTATAAATCATTCTTGATAGAAAAAGCAGATGGTTTGAGCGTGTGCACATCCGGTCAATGTCAAATTGACGGATGATCAACACATCATATCCTAGCCCTCTCTTCATCTGTGACCAAGGCCGCCACCAACTACCCCCATACATGTACAACACTCTCTTCCAGTCACGTGACCTGTGTTAACCTTTGAAGCTCTAGGTCACCTAACAACCCTTGTCAATAGCTAAAGAAAGATGGTGGATGCCATCTGAAGCTTCTCTGCTCATATTATAGCAGAGAAGTCATGTGTACCTTCCTTTCAATATGTAACCTAAAATTATACATTTACAATCTTGTACTATGATCATGTTCACTTTGCAGATAAAATGCACAAAATCCCATAATAAAAATATACATGTAGATTGCAAAACAACTACATGTAGAGGGTGAACTTCTGAGCTTGAATCTGAAATGGGAGCTAACGTCGAAAACTTAAACAAGTACTACAACAAATATTTTATTATTTTTCTGATACTTAGAGACCAAGAATATCCAGTATATTATATTTCTAATGTAAAAAAGTCCTACAGAAATATTTGGGTGCACCAGTGCACAGTGTACATGAAGATAGCGGTAATAAGTGGGTAAACTTCAAGGTTACGGGGCTACAAATAACTTACATGTGGGGTGCTGTGTGCCCACCAGAATGAAGTCACCTGATGGGTGGAAAGACAGGCATCGAACAACATCTGCCTCCTGTGGGTCAGAGATTTAACAAACTGAAGGAAGCTGACAATCTGAATGAAACATAATAATACTATTACATGTATATATAATATAAATTTACTAATAGACAGAAATTACTGAATACAACAAATTCCTCTCTGAACTGTTTGTTAAGGGAGCATTATGTAACATTTTTGAACCAAAAATTTAAATATCATTATTGAAAAAACTCTTCATATGATTGTCATTTACTTACACTTTTCTAAATATTTGTGCTATCATTTTCATGTTTTTGATATTTAGGGTTCGCAATAAGGTGACCCACATATACATGCACTCATTTTGTGGCACCACCATGAAACACCAGAATGTAAATAAACATGACTGACAACGGTGTTTCTAGCTTTCAAACACACTTGTGCAGTGTAATAATGTCACACCTCTACTTCCTGAATGGCAGCTACATGCATTTCCAATTGAAGGGGGTTGATTCAACTAACTTTGTAAAGAAATGACTACAAAATAGACTACAGTACTGTTTTTTTGAAAATTTTCTTTTATGAAGAATTACCACATTTGTGGAAGGATAATCATTGACATAACACATAACTATCATCTCTTCAAGATGTCAAACCTGAGACCAGACTGTAAGATTTGAACCACTCACACCAGGAAGGTCTCCTACTCTTTTCGATAAGTGCGGTGGGTTCTTTAACGTGCGGGGGGTGTGACTCTCCCCAAACACGGGACCTCCATTTAACGTCCTATCCGAGGGACGTCCCTTACCGAGGCTAGGTACTCATTTACACCTGAGTGAAGTGAGGAAAGTCGTGTAAAGTGCCTTTCCCAAGGGCACAAGATCGGTAACACCGGGCCCTTTTGGCCCTGGGCCGAACATGCTACCGTTACACCACACAACCCCACATAATGGTTTTTATCATCCTAATGTTACATAATACAGCCTTAGGCCACACCAATTTAATTTCTTGGTTTCAGATTTTTTCAGAAAAAATAAGAAGTGACAGGGGAAAAAAAAACAGGTGTAGGCATTCTATTATAGATATGAAAATGGTACAAATGAGCCAAGAAGTCAACACAAAAGGCTGGGTAAATATTTAAACAATGAATTTTGAACTTTTAATCAAACCAATGCATTGATAGATCGAAGAACTGTAACAACTAGGAAGAAAAGGACTTTCCTCAACTGTTGGGGGCAAAATATGAGCACTTTTCAGTTGATTCAGAACAAGAATCTATTTTTTTTTGCAAATCAGAAAAAAAAAATGAAGAGGCGAATCTGAGAACCAAGAAGTAAAATTGGTGTGGCCTTAAGTTCAGAAGATACAAGAGCAGACTGAAGGTAACCTGTATACTCTTGGTGGCCCTTTTGACTGACGGTTTGGTGAAGTCAAAGAACTTGACTGTGTAGTCCTTACTGCCAGAGGCCAGGAGCTGGACATTGGGGTACTGTGGATGGTAGTCCAGACAAGTCACCTCCTGTTGGAAAACATACATTGTACAAGGACAAACTTTAGTCAAAACAATCAGTTCTTCTTTTTGATAAGTCAATTATGCTCAACAATTTACAGAGTTTCTTTTGTCTAATATTGCTGTCCTTTAAATCACATGGAAAAATAAATTAGAATTTGCAATTTTGAAATGGGAACATATTGGGAATTAAGGAAAAAATATTGTGGTACGTGTGAAAATGTGGTAAAAAAAATAATGTGGTAAATCATCATAAATGATCAAAAATATTTCCTATACTAACGTCAATGAATATTTGCATGACTGTTTTGTACATGTACTACAAAAAAAATTTTTACACAGGACAGTGCACTTTTATTGCCACTTCATTAAACAGTACAATCAGGCCACACCAATTTAATTTCTTGGTTAACGGATTCGCCCGCTTCATTTTTTTCTGATTTGCAAATTTAAAAAAAATTAAGAATCAACTGCAAAATGCTCATATTTTGCCCTGAACAGTTAAAAACAGACCTTTTCTTCCTAGTTGTTACAGTTATTCCATCTTTCAATGCAGTGGTATCATTAAAGTTCAAAATCGTTTAAATTTTGAACCAGCCTGGTGTGTTGACTTCATGGCTCCTATTGTACCATTTTAGGCCATAATAGGATGCCTAGGCCTATTCTTATTTCTATCTTTTTTCGCCCGCCCGCTCCATAATTTTTCTAGAAAAATCCGTTAACCAAGAAATCAAATTGGTGTGGCCTCATATGACAATTCACAGTATAACAAAAGTATCGTAAGCTATCATATCAGGATTCAGGTTGGCACTAAATTAAGCCTAAATAGTATACATTCATATATTACTGTTCAATAGACCTCAGACCTCAATGTGATCATACAGGGTCCGTATGACAGGATGGTTCTCCATGTTCTGCTGTGGGGTTTCCTGAGCTGCCTGTTCAGGGGCCTGTGCACTCTTTGCCAACATCCTGTCAACATCCAGGACCTTGATGGAGGCATCCACAGACCCGGTAGCTATCAGCTGGCCTGAAACATACATAAGAGTGACACAAGGTTACTCAAGCAACATTTTGAAAACTGTCAGACACCAAACCACACAGTTTGTCTGTCTTTCCAGTGTGCTATGTAGTTGCTGGTTCGTACATGTAGCTATGCCTTCAAGTACTAGAGTTATCAACCAAAGATTGAGGTGTTCAAAAATGTTTTTTCCTAGAACTATTGCAGAGTGGAACTCACCAAGTACAGTAGCAGCATTATCATTAGATAGCTTTAAACAATGCCCAGAGTTAGATGTTCAAGGGTTAGGTTTAACAAGTCGGTCGGTGTAATATAGCCAGCTGCCGCCGCGCCACGTGCCTGCGAAGCTGGTGTGTTACGCTGAAAGGCGGTTATACCGGCTATACAGATACAGACATTTCAAGTAGCATTCACTGACAAAAACATTTAACAATTTTTTAAATCTATCCAGTCGCTTGAGTAACAATTTTCTTATGTATCTCATTACATGGCACAGACAAGAGTCCATGGGACACAAAAAAACTCTGTAAATGGTTGAAAACCAAATGTAATACCAAAATTGTTTGGAACCAGAAGAAATGACAGACGTGGGTATTGGCAGAATTATAGGAATCCTACGTTTCACTTCAAGTTTGTGAAGTAAGTTAAAATCTGGTGTTCACAAGAGAGTGATGTTCTACAGGCAACAACTGTAATTTCTGTTTATTGCTTAGCATGTTTCAGTTCATGTGTATTGTGTATATTTTGTACATTTTCTATATATTTTGTCACTTGGTTATCATAAAGTTTTGTAAAAACATTCTCTGTGATGTTGTAACACTCTTGGCAGAGTGGATGAAGGTGTATTGTGCAGGCAATATAAAAACAACTTGGGTCAAGCAGACCAAACACTACAAGTATGCAACAATAACGAAAATGTGCTATTTATTACTGGCCGTAAATGTAAATATCAGACAGATTTCTTCAATTGAATGATTTTAGCTGTTTCGTCATCTGTCATGACAATACTACTGTGAATGCAACAGCTAGCACAAATCACCCAATATCTGCTTGAATAAAAAAAGTAAAGACAGAGGCCCTACACTGAGCCATGTGTGATGTTACAGGTTTGTACATTAATACTTACCATCACAAGTAAAGGCAGAGGCCCTACACTGAGCCTTATGTGATGTTACAGGTTTGTACATTAATACTTACCATCACAAGTAAAGGCAGAGGCCCTACACTGAGCCTTGTTACAGGTTTGTACATTTTAATACTTACCATCACAAGTAAAGGCAGAGGCCCTACACTGAGCCTTATGTGATGTTACAGGTTTGTACATTAATACTTACCATCACAAGTAAAGGCAGAGGCCCTACACTGAGCCTTGTGTGATGTTACAGGTTTGTACATTAATACTTACCATCACAAGTAAAGGCAGAGGCCCTACACTGAGCCTTGTGGGATGTCACATAGCAGGTTTCGTACAGGGCAGCCTCAGGAGAAATGGTCACAACTGTGGAGATGCAACAGGAGGAAACTTTAAACTATGAGAATATTGTCATAGCAATTCAAACACTTAAACTATCCAACTGAGGGTGATTAGAAATACAGTCAGAATTTTACTTGAAGATGAGTGAAAATTCTTATTCCAAATTACTACTTGTTGACTTTTACAGAAGATTGAAATTAAAAATTTAATGTAATATCTATTAGTTATCAATAATCTGTCATACTTATTTTTGTTTTAAAAGTGGTCCCTTTCTTGCTTACTAGTACATGTATGTCTTACTGTATAATACACTGTTATGTACATGATGTACAGTTGTACATACATTTGTATGTACAGTGCGAAATATTGAATTGAAATGGGGCAAGTACAGTTTTGTGTATTTACCATTGATACTAATGATAGGCACATTTTATGTTTGTGTTACTTTAAGATCCAATATTACATGACGATTGTGTTCTCACCATCAGACTCAAACTCCAAGTCAATACCACCTCCTGGTGCAACCCTCTCCTTTGTCAAAGAGTTCTGCTTTGTACCTGAAAGAAACGACAACTATTTAAATTAACACCCGGGTATGTTTAATACATGTATCTATGCAAATGTTGGCAAGCTTTGCTAATTTGTATGTACGGTAAAACCAACTATACAAGCTGACAACCTGGTCATGAAGACTGCTTTTTCTCGGTCCCAATTATTTTTCCATGGCCATAGACATATGAATTATGATGAGATACAATGTTTGCTCAAGAAACCCCCAAAATACCTGAGATATTATACGTAGAGGTACAAATGTCCAAATTCATTTGTACATGGAGTACAAAAATGTTGTTAAACATTAGTCTCTGAGTCTGTTTGGAAAGTGCAATGCAAATTAAATTTTAGGGATTTTTTTAAACCACACTGCATCTTCATTTTGTAACTGTCTTCTTGGTCTCTTTTCTCCCTTGCAAGTTGCTTTTTTTGTTTATGCTCTATTTCTATAAAAAAATAAATTGATAGGTTTAAAACTTTAATGTTTAACCCATACAGTGTTAGAAATATCCATCCACAGTCTGCATTTTACAGAGAAATTTTGAAGAACCTGAAATTTTACATACTAGGGGTTCAATTATGTTGGTATAACATTGCATTTTGTGTTTGCTACTACTGACTTTATGCCTTGTGTTCTTCAAATTGCATGTAAAAATGTTTGCCGACATACAAGTTTTAGGTCAGGATTTAATTTATATTTGCAGGAAGTATTTCTGAATTGCAGAACAAAATTTTGACATTCTGCAATATTGCAGAACACTGAAAAACTAGAGAAGTAACATTTGCAAAGCAAATGCATACTAGTAATGTTTACATGAATCTTGGGACATGGTCTGCTCTGTTAATTCTCACTAAAACACATCCACATACATGTACTACTAGTATTTGGTGACAAGAGCAGAGCAGACCATGAAATTGCAACATTACGTATGTAACCCATCACCAGTCACCATGGTGGCAAACGTCAACAAATCATCTCATTGGTCAGGTCAGAGGTCACTGTTTGGAGAAGAAGAAGAAGAGGAAGAAACGGAGCAAAAACATGTATATCTACTGCTGCCGTACCTTCTTCCGTGACCAGTGCCAGTTTGGTGAGTCTGAGCAGGCGATCAGAGGGAGTCAGGGCACCCTGGAGTCGTACAACCTTAGCCAGACTGGCAGCTACTGACTCATAACCATCATAGTACAGCTGGCTGTGGACATGGCAACAAGTAACATATGGACATCAGAACATAAGACTTTATTTTCCTGGATAAACATCAATGTAATATGATGCCAAACATTTTCAGATTGGATGAATAAAAGTTTAACATACAATTTGTACTAAGGAGTATTACACAGCATATCAAGAACATCCTTACCCAGACCGGTACTTCATTCAACTTCAATAAGTTCAAACTTTATTCAAAGTAATCCATAAAATTACTTCAGTGTTGCCTTAATGTTGTAGGGTGGAGCGGTACACGGGTTATGGCAGGACGGTTTCTACCCTGGCCTTATAAAAGCCTCTACTGTCGGTGCTCCCACCACTGGGCCCGGCAGTTGGTTCCACTCGCTTACCGTGCGGGGAAAAAAGAAACCTAAAACAGTCTTATGTGCTGTGAATAACGCCCCCCTTGTATTTGTATTAGTGACTACTTAATCCGAGCAACTATATGTATTTTAGTATGGAAGTCGCGCATCAATACTGTCATCTGCAACCTACATGTACCTCAGGGCTGGAAATACTGGGTGCATGTGCACCTTAGTGCACCCAAATTTGGAGCTGTGCACCTAATTTTGTTTTTCTGTGGCTGCACTCAGGTTCACCTAAATATTTTAGTTAGGTATTTTTTACTATATCAGATAGAAAATAGTATGCAGGATATTCTTGGTCATCTAAGTGTCAGAAAAATAATAAAATGTTTCTTATAGCACAGACATATCATGTTTTGAAGTTAGTTCCGATTTCAGATTCAAGCTGATTCAGATTGAGCAGTCCAAGACCAAAGCAATGATATTCTCGCCACCGCACGCCAACAACACAGTCGAGAAAGACCTGACAGTAGACAACAAAGCTATACAAGTCGTCTCCTCCTTCAAACTCGTGGGAATCACACTGGACCAACAGCTAAACTTCGAGAAACACATCAGCAACACTCAGACGAAAGCATACAAGGCGCTTAAGGCAATCAGCAAGATCACACAAGCCAAAAAGTCACCCAACCAAGAGGCCCACATCCTCCTGTACACAACCCGTGGTTCGTCCCATGCTTGACTACGGAGCAGAATGCGTAGTTCGGCCGGAAACAAGGTGGAGAAGACATACTCACCCATCCAAAGACAGGCACTCCTCGCTGCCACAGGGTGCTTGGAGAGAACTAGCACAGAGGCTCTTGAAGCCATCACAGGAGTACTACCAATTGATATACACCTCACATGCAGACAGGCTCAAACTTACCTAAGACTGACAACGAAACACACGGGAAACGCTATCTACGACACCATCTCCCACATGAGCACACGGAAGTCAAACACTCAAACTGGCACCCCAATCCACCTGCTGCAAACCAGATTCAATGAAATGAAGGGCGACATTGATGAACACATGATGGACAAGGAACCGTACTATGATGCAAGACTCCCTCCCTTCGCTATTGGCTCCATCACAGGCACATTCGTAACTGAAACCAACACTACAGAGGGAAAGGACAAGGCAAGAAGCAAAATCCTAGACATCCTGACAGAAATAACCAGCAGCACTACACCTACCACCGTAATATTCACAGATGGCTCTGCCCTTGGTAACCCAGGCCCCACTGGGTGTGCCGCAGTCATCTATGAAAGATGGGGTCACACAGAACCATTCGCAGTTCGCAAAGCAGTAGCCGCTAAGTCCAACAACTATGAGGGGGAACGTGGAGGGACTTCATCTGGCCATAGACACCATCACCCGCAGACAAACCACAAGCAAGAGAGTACTCATCCTGTGTGACTGCAAAGCAGCAATCGAGAACGTCATAGGAGTACAGCAGGTGGAAGCCTACAACGCCCTGGTACACACCATCAGAAACAAACTACAAGCACTCCGACAGCAAGGTATCACCACACAAATCACATGGTGCCCAGGGCACATGGGAATCTCTGGTAATGAAATCGCAGATAACGAAGCTAAACTTGCAGCCAACGAGGCATCAACCAACCCCCAAAACAGCACATCCTGGACCAAGCATCAAGCCATGAAACACATTGAAACAAAAGCACATGAGAGATGGGATAGAAGAACAGAACTCAACATGACAAGTCAACACATGCTGAAGATAGGAACAAACATGAAGAAGAAAGGCAGAGCACTTGGTAGAAGAAGCACACAAGTCACCATCAACCAGCTGGTGAGCGGGCACACCAGACTCAATGCGTACCAGAACTGGAAAAACCCTGAAGTCTCACCATACTGCCCAAACTGCGACGCTCTGGAGACCACCAACCACTACCTGTACCACTGCCCCCGCTATGAGAACGAAAGGCATCACATGCTGATGGAAGCAGACAACATTCACGAGACCTACAACACAGCAAAGGAAGACAGAGACACGGACATCGTCACACTGGCCGGAATGAGAGTAGGACTTCC